AAAAACTTGACCTGCTCAGAATATCAAATCAACTTGTCACCTGCACATATTCAGGATAATCTTTAAAGAGTGAACGAGGAAGTATTCCAGATGGATATACCGCGTGCTGGTGAATTAATTCCAGGATTAATAAGAATCCGAATTCATTCACGATTTACAAATGCACAAAGGCACCAATTATGTATAAAATACCGAGTCCCTTTTCAAGAAAATGAACAAAATCCAATTGGAGGATATTATTATACATGCAGGTCAGATACACGGACATTAGGAATATGTGTACATGGTACAAGTGTCTTGTGGTACATGGGGTACGCAAGACAAGAGGAAAATATAAAATATTCATCTGCGAGACCGGTAACACTATGTACCAGTAGCAGGCGATCAGACTTCCTATGCAGTGGGAAGCAAAAAATTTTGACAATGGATAATCGGACGTCTTAAACGTTTCTCCGTAAAGATGTTTCAAAAAGTGCCAGACTTTGTCATTGAATTAGATAAACCAAAAAGCTGCACAAATGGACTCTAAGATTTTTATACACTGGTCGAACCAAAAGTCGGTATGGTAATATTTGAGATTGATGGGTAATAAAATGTGTCTCGACATACCATGAAAGCGATTGGTCAAATCAAGATTTTCATTTATGCCTCAAAAACCAGGTAGAAAAATGATGGAAAATGATTAATTTTAGTGAATTGTATCAAATATGGTATATACCTGCAATGAGTTAGGATGTGCAGCTCTTCGTCACGTGCTTCTGCACCACACACGCTTTTTGCGGCTTGGGTGACTAGTTTTACCGTTCTTTCCATCGTTTGTGTGTGACGAGGAAAGTCTTCGTGGGTCTTTCTTAGACAAATACCTTGATCTCTCCACTATTTCAAAAAACAACTTGCTGACATCAACAACAGAGTGCTTGATCTTGATAGCAAACCATAACGGGAAAGCAACGCAATTCACGGAAATGGTAAATTAGTCGAATGATGAACTATTCGAACCTCCAATTTTAAGTGGAACAGCAACAAAGCCATTCAGGCGTGAGTTGAAGAAAGTTCAAAGGTCAAGTCTTTGGTCGGAGACTTTTCTTGTCACATACAAGCGGTGTGAATAACGGTAAAACTAGTGATCCAAGCCAAGTTCAATAGAAAGAGAGATTTTGTCGCTGCATCAAGCGCGGACTCGGAATCTGACTCTTGGGAGTAAAAGAGTCTTCTCATTTATGGTTGGTCGGTTGGGATGGGAGAGATCGGAACCCGACGTTCAGCCACCTTCTGGTGGTGGGTTCAGAGCTGTTTTTACACTCTGGAAAACGGGCGAAAAGCTGTACATCTTAAATCATTGCAGCATTACCTAGGTATATGCCATAGTTGCTACAATTCATTAAAATAGATCATTTTCCATCATATTTCTACCTGGTTTTTGGGGCATACATGAAAAGCTTGATTTGGACAATCGCTTTCATGGTATGTCGAGACATATTCTATTACCTTTCGAGCTCAAATATTACCATACCGACTTTTATATCGATGTGGAAAACTACTAGCAAATTTGCATGTTTTAATGAAAAGTTTTAATTTCAAGGATGCTGCGGGGATAGTAAATATTATCCGATTGGACTGAAACTTGATGTACTTTCATTTGGCATGGTTTTACAACTTTTCTGCACCCTCCCAATTATCTAAAACATGAAAAATTGAATTTTCGATATACTCTAATACATATGCCGGATAGCAGTTGCAACTACGATAGGAAGATAAGATTAAAGAATTTTGTTATACATATAAAAAAAGATTTTCAAGTAACCGTTTCCAATGTACCAACTCGACATTTTATTTTTAATTCGTCAAAGTGTATTTTAGAGTGGGTACAAAAACGTTTAGAACTGACTAAGATCGTTTAATACTCATTAAAATTCGAGATCTTACACAGCATTCTTTACTCAAGTAAACTTAAAATATTAAAGGTGAAAGAAGTTAACAATTTTTCTGAATCAACCTCACAAATAAATCTCTTAAATAAATCTTAAATAAATCACTTAAATAAGCTCATGGGTTTCATATGTATCAACTGCACAGCTGCCATAATACAGAGACCTGCTTAATCTAAAAACTATTTTCGAAATTAATTAATAATTTCAAAATTATCAAATACATATGAAACCCATGAGCTTATTTAAGAGATTTATTTGTGAGATTGATTCGGAAAAATTTTTAACTTCTTTTACCTTTAATATTTAATTAGCAAATGATAAATTCATTTCCTTTAATTGAACTTGAAATATCTTCAGAGTTTTGCGCAAAATTTTATAATTGTCAATAACAAAGAGATATCCCTAACAGCAGCCGGATATTAAGGTAGTAGTTTTCTTTATAGGCCTAAAAAATCGATATTTTTTTTGTCTTAAATATATTCCAAAACTATCGAAGAATATGTCTTCAAAATTTTAGAGGCCAATTCGACATATTTTCGAAGGTAGAACAGATTTTGTAACCGACCGTCTAGAACGTGTGAATTCTCGGGCAGACACCAGCGCGCGCGCTCCTCCCTTTCATGCGTTATATTATTTACCTAACCTTGTATGCACCTAACACACACTCAAAATTAGAACGAAGCGTTCAATTCGCTTGTGTGGCGCCTAAACCCAAAACACGTCAATTCCAGCTCTAAAATCGTCAAAATAGCGTCAAATTTGGCTGCAGGAATTTTTAACGAGGCCTATGGATCTGTGTTTTCCACTATGCAGCTCATCGATATTGTCATTGGGCAGCAATGCAAATATTTTGCAGACACATCGATGCTGAGCGCATAACGCAGGAGAACCAGCGCGCATCATTTTCGAGCCAGGAGTCAGTTCTTCGAAGAAGAGGAAGGATTGCTGTATGGCCCAGGAATAGATGATTAACATTTAATTAATGCAAGTATCAAAAAACTTATATTTTTTGGACCGAAAACTTTAAAGCGCGATTTCTCGAATTTTCATTTTCACACGTCATAGAAAACGGTGCCGGCGATAGCAAAAATAATATTTGTCCGATCGACAAAAATCAAAGTGATCTAGCTTCAGTATTAAATTATCTTCTATTTGAACTAAAAAAGTTGGACAAACGTATTATTTAAACTACTTCTCTTGCAACTTAAAGTGAATTTTTTTTTAAAGTGAATTTTTTTCAAACTTTGAAAAAATTTGAAATTTTTCTACTTTTTCGGTATTTTTTTAGTTCAAATAGAAAAGAAACTTATAAAAATAAAAAAAAATTTGTTTTGACTGTTTCAGATGCATCGCACGACCTCCATCACCGGCACCGATTTGCAAGTGCAGACTGCAGGCGCTCCAGAAAAATAGTTATAACTTAGAAGAATTTCAATATTTTTTAATAATAAAAAATTACTTTTTTAAGCTGAAATATAGTAGAATAACACCTAAAAATTTCGTTTACCGCAATCATTTCCATCCCTTTCAAAAAAATTGTTGAAAAAACGCTTTTTTCGGCTTCTACAGGAGACTACTGCTTTAAAAGGTTACGCCAACCTGAACGCATCTGAATTGGACGGTTTTTTAAGAATCTTTTTGATCAAAATATTTAAGATAAGACATTTTTATTGTTTTTATTACATATTGTAAGTTATGTTACTTTATAGGACCTTTCTTTTGCATGACTTTATAAAACGTAGATTCCAACAAACTGAACTCTTTTATTATTTAACTTCGTATCTTTCCACTCTCAAATTAAATTATAATCATAAGCTTATCACTCTAGAAAAGGATATTAATTTTTCTTTTAGATATTTTTCATTTTTTCAAAATTTATTTTAATTTAATAAAGAGAAAATTGTTTTCGGTGTATCACTGCGCATATAACTGCTGTGATACCTGGTTATCTATATTTTTATTTTGGAAAAGTAAACAGATATAAATATTTTGACAAAGTTTTAGAAGTATATAGACAACATTCTCTCACTTATAGAGGTCCGAGAGCAATTTCTCTCACTTACAGATTTCAGGGAAGAAAAATGACTCTCACCTACAAAGTCTAGCTTATAAAGGTTTCTGCATGTAAAATTGACGAAACTATTGCTTATAGACTGAATGTGGAAAATAATGGTCTGACTTTTTCTCTTAAAGAAAATTTTGATTTTAGCGTTAGTTTTAGATTTTTATGTTTTTCGAACATTTCAGAGCCTATAACTCTGAAATTTCAATTTAATAAAAAAATGTTATAGAAAATAGTTGTTTGCTTTTCCAACATTTTGTGTCTACAGATAGGCACCATCGCTAGGACATGTTTTTCTGGTTTAGAGCACTCTAAAATAGGAAAATTTTATAAAATCAAAGAAAATCAAAATTTGACCAAAACTAATACCTTCTCATGTGATGAGAATGTGAATTTTTTTTAAACTGACAAATATACAAAATTTTCTATTTTTGTTGTTTTTGACGAAATAAGCTGTCCAACGAACTCGGGTACAAATCCCAAGACCTCATTTTTTCTGAGAGGAATTAACAAACATTTTTTTAAATTTAAATATTCGCTTTTGTTTTATATGCGTTTATAATTATTACTCTATTTACTACTTTAATTTTTTTTCTTCTATCTATTTTTATGAACTTATTTTTATGTCACACGATCTTTTCCTGAATTCGGTGTTGTTAAAAGTACTATTTATATCTTACCCATCATCAATTTTCTACTCGATGCATAATTGCTTCTTTCTTTGTGAAAAACAGTTCGATTAACTGAACAAAAATCTCATTAAGCTGACGAAATTATTTGCTTCAATATAATGAAATGTTTTAAATGATTTGCTGAATGAAAAAAGCACATCAATTGTTTCATGGGCTTTATAATACTTTATTAGCATCCACATTTATAATGACAAATACAAAAATTCCAATATTTTTTTAAATGAAAAAAAACATTTAAAAATAAAATAAAAATATATTTATAAATGTAAGAAAGACAATTTTTAATAATGAAAAATGTTTTTTTTTTTGCTTCAGGACCTGAAAAACCAAATCATGACAACGAACGTTTGGGTGGAGCAGGTGAGTCTTTTATCGTTTTTCTTCTTTTTGGTTTTTGTAGCGTTCATAGATGTCACATCGAACGCTCGATATTTTAGACGGCATGGTAAGCGAGCAGGACAGGAAATTTCATTACGTGCTCTTCGCTCGACGCGTTTGTGATTGAGGGTAAATGGAAGGATTTTAGAGTACTCGAAATGTCGGTGACACTTTCTACGTGAGAGCGACTATTATGAGGAATTGCCGTAGAATTTATGTTCGCACGGAAATTCTCGTTGATTGCACCTAGGATTCTATTCATTTTTCGATTTTGCAATGACAAACACATTCATTATAGATATTACTTTTCTCAATTTCAAAATAATTATCTTCTCTAACGGAATTGAAAGTTAATGAATAGTAAAATTACAGAGAACTTCTTTTTTATTCTCAGAATAAAATTTTCTCAATCAATTTTCCTTCTTTATTTTCTTACTTTCAATTCCATATTATAAAAAAATTTTGGTTTATTATTTCGAAAAAATTAAAATTTATTCTAAATATTTGTTGAAATTATTGACAATTTTGAAGCAGGGAGAAATATTCTAGTGCGATTTCTTGATGTTGGAAAGAAATCGTAACATTTGAAAAATTACAGCACGATTTAAAAGGTTTTCGCTTATGGTGAATTTTACTTGTAGTCTTCTTTAATGATGCAATCTGCAATTCGAATGTATAGTTTACGTTACGACACATTAATTCTCAACTTCCTTTGTCTCTGTTCTTCTTGTATTCCTTGTGCACTTGGCGCGAATGAGAATTTATGGCACTTTCAAACTTTGTCGATCCGCTAAGTCCTGCGAAAAATATTGAAACCACTGATCAAAATATTCTTTTCTTTTTAATGAAACTGGCGAAAATTTAACAGAAACTTTTCACATCTTACCTTTACGTATACATTCTTAACGAAGGCTTAAATAGTTTTAATATCAATCAAATTTGCAATTAAAATCATATAGAATTTGAATGGATTACTTTTAACTAATTCGACAAGTGACTTTTTACTGCATACTGAATATTTAAATTTTACTAAAAAAAAACAATAAATATTCTACCTAATAAGTTTTTATTTAAACACTCAAAATAATTTTTAGTAGTTTCGCTTACTTTTCTTATACTGTTCTAAAATTCAATAGACTCTGAACTGAATTTAGAAAGTTGTATTGATTACCAAAAAGTAGATAACAAAATTGAGAATTATTTTTTAAACACATTATCGTTGTAAATGTCGAGACTGCTAGCAATACGTGTAAAAGATCCTGGAGTCTCCCGGGAGCAACTCCCAGAGTAGTTTCCGGGAGTAATTCTGAGAGTTTTTGTATATTTTTGTAGAAAATCACTTTAGAATACCTGTTGAATGCATGTATCGATTTTATATCCTAACGAAGTTGATAATCCGTACTATAGATCGCGTGTTCGCTACTCCCCTGTGTTAGTTCTCAGCAAGTTGCAATCCGCATAGTTTGCAATGTCTTTGTTCTCATTTTATATACACTTGTTTGTAATAAATCCGTATTTAGTTTAATCAAACTGTGATTAATTGTCTTGCTCCCTGACCAAATCTCAATAGGTTATGGGCCCAGAGAGTAAAAGTTTCTTGTGGCCAAGTTTAATTTCATGTAATTGAATTATGTAAAGAATATGACGCCACAAAATGGCTACTTCAACAGGTTTCGCGAACATTGAAAAGTTGACCGGAAGCAGATGCTAAAGATTGGGTAAAACGATTAGAAAGTATTGGCCTTGATTAATTTAAGTATTATATATAATCAATTAAATTATGTCAAGAGAGCTACGACATCTAAAAGAGCCTGGTATAGTCTCCATGTTCTAGTTATGCTTTGTAAAACTTTTATCTTCTCGGTTTCATAGGTGACTCTAGTGAGATTTATCTCGTCTTGTCAGTGAATCAATTTTTTATATAGAATAAATAAATTTCAGTGGCAATTGGAAAAACGTGGGATTATGCGAAATTAATGAATTGTAAAGGGAAATTTTGATAAATGTTAGAATTTTAAATAAATTATTTGTCGCAATAATTCAATGATCATAATTATTACTTGTTGATTATTTCTGGTAACCTTTTCAATTTTGTTTCTTTTTAAATTAAGATTCTATACTAGTTTCGTTACATATTTGGCGCCCAAACAGGGCTTATTGAAAATAAGATTGTATTGTTTGTTTTTGATATGTCAGAACTTTGTTATTAAGTCGCGACATAAGCTATCTTTAGGTCATAGAAAAATACTAAATCAAAACATGCCTTGGGGTACAGGGGGGCACGTGAATCGTTGCTCTGATGATTCTTTAATAAATGTATTATTCAGACGAGTTGAATCATTTGTACACTGTCAAACTAGACTACATCCTATCAAGATTATGTACGAGTCGAAAGAGTTCGAAAATTATTGCGAACATTCTAAAATCTCTTGTCACAGCAAAGAAGGCAGCCACCTTTTCTACTGCACTGGAAAATCTATGGTCATGGGAATGGAAAACTGAATCTGAAAATTGTATATATCGTCACGGATCACCGGTAATTGTGACAACACAACACATGAAGACTGTACAGCGTCAGAATGTATAGGTGCGTCGTATTGTTTCCCTTACTCCGCTACTTGTGTTAACGGTCCAGTGTCGGTGGAACCAGTGTCCATATACTATCTAAATATCAAGGGCGTAAGAGCTAAATTACATTTGTTGCATCAACCAATTTCAAGGTCAAGGGGGAGGGGCAAAACCGTTAAGCGCGAATATCATAGAAGAAATTTTGAAGTAAGGCAGGATATGGGTAATATAGGGAGTACGGAAAGCAATCGAGGATATAATGCAAAGGGAAATTCGTCAGCTCAGAGCGGCAGTGGTACTCACACAAATCACCGCTTTTATCCTAATACTAATAATTCGAGAAATTCAAATCAAATTAGACAAATGCGTGATAACGATAGATTAAGTTCAGACAGTGAGAATCTTCCAACATGTAAAATTGCAATGATTGATATAAATGCTGAACAATGTTAGTCTCAAAATATATCTGAAATGAATGACTCGAATAGGTATAATGACCTTGCTGCCACACAATTTGATAATAATGTAGATAGTACTTATTTTTCAAGAAACGAACAAACGACTTGGGCATAGAAAGTCCTGTTTCGAGTCGTAATATAATATATTAACTTACAGTAACCTTGCAATTGCTAATATTTTGAGGCAATGGGTAATTTGTTTAATAGATTCAAGAAGTAGCGCAACTTGTGTTTCTGCTGAGTGTTTTAATTTAATAAAAGGTGACAAACGCTGTAAATATTTACCAGTTTCATATGTTAAAATTGGTGGACCGTTTGGGAAACACACGTGTCGAGCTAAATTTTAGGTAATTCTCAGGTTAGAACTCAGTGGAAAGTTTTATGAAACTTTGTGTCTGATTGTTTCAAATTTGGAGCATGTTGTGATAATTGGAACAGATTGGATGTAGAATAATCATTATGACTTCCCACAGTGGGACGAAACTGCAATTTACTGTTCATAATAGTCTAGAGCCTTCATTTTTTAACCGATTTTACTGAACTTTGTTTTAAATGAAAGATTATGAAATTTGAAAGAGATTTGTTGAGGCAGAATTTTAAATTTCAATTTGTTTATATTTATTTTTTTATTGCAACGTTTAACAAAAGCATCTATTTTTAACAAAAAGTTATCTCCAGCCTCTATAATCGAATGGCACGTGCTAAAAACTTTTTAGAAAAACACCTGGAGTACTCTGTAAATTGTAAAAAATTTGTGCAGGTAAATATTTGAATGTTATAAACAATTTATATTAACAAATAATTAAGTTTACAACAAATTGTTAATGTGGACAAACGCTTTGATAGATTTTGATGAAATTGTATACTTAGGGGTTTTTGGGGTCGCTGATGACGAATCCAATGTTGGTTTTTCAAAATTCAAAATGGCGGATCCAATATGGCGGATGCTTTTTTTAAAACCCATTCAATTTGTCTAAAAATCGTTACTCGGGATTTTTTGGGGTCGCTGATTACAAATATGACGTCAGATTTTTAAGAATATAAAATGGCTTAGATAATATGATAAAAACCAAATTTAAATTTTATACGTTAATTTTTAAATTTATTTTATATATGTTTTTAAATAAAGGTTATAAAATTTACTGAAGATTCTTATAGTCTTGTCTTGACAATTTTATTCATTTATACTTATTTTGATACTGAATAATTCAAAAAAGTAATAATTTTTTTTACAAATTGTGATTAATTTGTACACTTTAAAGTATGTTTAAATCCATTAATATATAATAAATTTGTTAGCAAATTTAAAAAATATTATTGCTTTAAACAATTTTTTAAGATTATCGTATTTTTCAATTTTTTAAAATAATTCTGCATAGTGTAAAGATTTTTAGCACAGATTGTTAGTCTTATTAGTGATTTCAATTTCGCGGTAGAAGTAACGATTCGATTTTTATTATAAGAGCTTATTACATTTGTGAATTAATAATGTAAAAGATTTTAGATTTGAAAAACCAACATTGGATTCGTAATCAGCGACCCCAAAAACCCTTAAGTATACAATTTCATCAAAATCTATTAAAGCCTTTGTCCACATTAACAATTTGTTGTAAACTTAATTATTTGTTAATATAAATTGTTTATAACATTCGAATGGTAATTAATTTTACAATAATATTCTTTTGAAATTTCATATTGTAATGTTCGGGATAACGTGGTGGCCGAATAATTTAGTCGTGTGTTTGATGATATTGGTGGTGGCCGAATATTTTAATCGTGTGCTTGATGGTATTGGTGGTGGGATGAGTGGCGGCGTTGTTCGTGGATTGATCCGTTGTATTGAATGGAAAGATTCCGGTAATATTCTAATTGATGTTAATGCAGTAAATCGAATTGTTCTCCCTGAGTTAAGTAATATTCGCGAATTGCAGCAAAGAGATGAAGATATTGCTGAAA